GGTGGTGTAATGGTGTAGGGGATATTTTTCTTGGCACACTTTGGGTCCATTAGTGCTAATTGAGCATTGTGTCATCGCGACAGCCTACCCGAGTCTTATTGCTGACCATGTCCATCCCTTTATGACCACAGTGTACCCATCTTCTGATGGCTACAACCAGCAGGATAGTGCGCCATGTCATAAAGCGAGAATCATCTCTGACTTCTTTAACATGGCAATGAGTTCACTGTACTCAAATGGCCTCTAAGTACCAGATCTTAATCCAATAGAGCACCTTTGGGATGTGGAGGAACAGGAGATTCACATCATGGATGTGCACCTGACCTATCTGTGTCAACTGCTGTCATGTTAATATGGACCATAATCACTGAGGAATATTTCCAGTACCTTGATGAATCTATACCACAAAGCATTAGGGCCGGTAGTAGTACGGTGTACCTAATAAAGTGGCTGGTGAGTGTATGATTTTAAAATATTTAATGCGAAAATAATACACCACTGTTTAAAGTTTTTTTTTTAGTGGCATTTACACATTTAAAAAAATATTGTTTTTTTTTAAGTTTTAAAATTTAGATTTCTGAAAAAAAATAAATAATAACTTGCCTAATTACACTGACCTGTCTAATTAACCTAGTAAAGCCTTTAAATGTCCCTTTAAGCTGTATAGAAGTGTCTTGAAAAATATCTAGTCAAATATCATTCACTGTCATCATGACAAAGATAAAATAAATTAGTTATTAGAGATGAGTTATTAAAACTATTATGTTTAGAAATGTGTTGAAAAATCTTTTCTCCGTTAAACCTAAATTGGATAAAAAATATGCAGGGGGTCTAATAATTTAGGGGGGGGGGGGGGGGGTAATAATTTTGACTTCAACTGTATATTGTATGTTATTAAATATATATATGTTAACTTCTTAACGATAGTATACTTATATAAATATAGATATTAGGGGTCGCGTTAGACTTTCTCATTGTCTGTCATTTTGACGTAGAGGGTTGTAAAAATTTCATCATAACCTATTATTGACCGTCAATTAATTTGCATATTTTCTAATCACTTTTTTCATTCATATTTTAATAATGAACTTGCACTCGCCGATGCCGATTCGGAGCCGGAGGCGCCAAAGGGCAGCCGAGCTCGGGCCAATTACTACCTGCTATCTGGGTAGCGCCACTTCAGCCAGCGTAACAAAGAGGAGACAAAACAAGGGCAGTCGCCATCAGCTGGACAGGAGTGGGAGTTAGTTAGCTACAAATTCACCCTCAGCATAATCCGTCAAATGGACGGATCACCTTCAGAGTTTTCCATCACTGCTGAAAAAGATCTGTCAATGATGGAAAATATTCAGTTAACGCGACCTCTGATATATATAATAGTATATATAATAATCATATTCATGCGTACATTTTTATCTTTTTTTCTTTATGAAAAAATGCACACAAACAACTAGGCAGACTAGCTCACTTTATAGAGAAAAAAAAACATACCACTGAAAATGTTTCATCCTTTACTTCAAAAAGCATCATTCCAGCCTTTTGCGGATCACATGTGATGTGAGCTCAGCTACTGCTGCAGTGTTTGAATGTGCAATCTCACACCTAGAAGATGGATGGCAGTGAGATGGACACACTCCGCAGTGTAGGTGGTGACTGATGTTGCTGCTGAATTGGCAGTACACCGACCACATTTCTTAGAGTCTAAGCATGACGTCAGACAGTTTGAGGGCCAGATCTGAGAGAAAACCAGTGATATGCCGTCTTCACTCAAAAGCACCTGACTGTTGTTGTCTTGTTTGTCTGAAAGTGAATGCTAGTCTGGTGACAACCCTGGGAATCATGAGCTGGTATTCCTTACATTCCAGCTCAATTCTAAACCCTAGTGTGCTGCTTCTTTACCCATGTAGATATGCAGCTACTCTTAAAGCCAAAAACTTATCATAAAGGTTTTGATGTACCTGTACCAGCTCTGTTACCTGACCCTCTGCTGTATTCATGTTGCTAACTTTGAGAACTATTTTGAGTGTTTCAGGTTTAAAGTGGATGGCACAAAAGCCCTAAAGTCATGTCCAAATCTACTTTTGCTATTTTAAGGATGAAACAAAGAAAAACAAACAAAAAATATTTCATCCTTAAAGATATTCATGTAGTGCTGTACATCCATGTATGGGTCATTCATTCATTCATTCATCAATTTATTTATTAATTAATTTTATTCTGCTTATCCTTGGCCGGGTTGTGAGGCAGCAGTCTCAGAAGAAAACCCTGGACTTCCCTCTCCTCAGACTCTTCCTTCAGCTTCTCTGGGGGGATCCTGAGGCATTCCCAGGAAAGCCAAGAGACATAGTTCCTCCAGTGTATGTTGGGTCTTCCCCAGGGCCTCCACCCAGGGGGACAAGCCTAGGATACCTCCCTAGGAGGCATCTAAATCAGATGCCTGAGCCACCTCAGCTGACTTCTCTCGATTTTGGAAGAGCAGCGGCTCTACTCTGAGTTCCTCCCAGGCTTTTCTCAAGTTTCATCCCTCCCTCATTTGTGAACAAAACTCAAGATACTTGAACTCCTCCACCTGGGGGACAAATTCTCTACTAACCTGAAGATGGCAAGCCACTTATTTCTGATGTAACACCATGGTCTCAGATCTAAAAGTGCTGATTCTTTTCCCTGGTTCATCACCTTCAGCAGCAAATTGTCTCAGTGCATGCTGAAGATCCATAATTGATGAAGTCAACAGAACAACATTATCTGCAAATAGCAGATATGAAATCCTGTGGCTCTGAACCAGACCCCCTTTGTCTCTAGGTTGCGCCTACAAATTCTGTCTATAAAAATGATGAACAAAACTAGTGACCAAGGGCAGCCCTATGTGTGTATTAAGCAATAAGTATTTTTATTGTGGGCCAGTATTTGCGCATAAAGGCTGATTTATATTTCTGCTTCAAGTGCACGCGTATGCTCCTTTGCGCGGTCGCATAGCCCTCACCATGGCTGATGCCGATACTAACACGCACTTGTCAAAAAATTTTACTACACGTCCCAACGACGCATAGCACAAGCTCTGTGATGGGTCAGCGACTGGTGACGAGCTTGGCAGTGGTGAGAGCCGCAAGCTCGATGGAGTGTTTACAAGTATGGAGACCCGTGAAGAAGCTCCAGATGGGAACTTTTGTTTTGTGTTTACCTTATGATTAAAGTTGTTGCAGGTCTGCTGGTTCCCACCTCTGAATGAGCAAGTTTTAGCTACTTGTACATTAAGGTAGCGTTCAGAAAAAACAAAATACCTATGAAGAAACTCGACACAGAGGAATCTACTGCCGAGCTAATGCTCTAGGAGTGTTATTGTAGAGCAACACAAACAGCATGCAGAAGTATAAATGCATGACTATCCCCAAGGCAAGTGCTGTGGGTCATTCATTGGATATAATCAGGGCCGGAGTGGGACTCCTTTTCACCCCTGGAGTTTCAAGCCTTTGACCGGCCCACCTCAGTTCACGACTGACTATATTAAAATAAGGTCATTTCCAATTCAGTTTCTAATTACACTATTACGTCTTTTTAAAGAAAACAGCTGCTTTAGAACTTCAAATGTTCAACAACCTTACAGTTTTATATGTCTTAATAAAAATGAAAAAAAAAAAAAGTTAATCTCTGGTGAGGATCGAACACGGGTCGGCGGCTTGATAACGCAAAGCGCTGACCGCTAGAGCACAATGATACTGCTGTGCTTACATTACCGGAATGATATTTCATCATTCTGCAGGCTACATTCTGCTCATGAGGCTGCGAGACAATAAATAAGAAGAGCGGAGCTGTGGCAAAATAATGGATAAAAAGAGTGAGGCTATGGTCAAATAATTAAATAAAAACGAATTGTTATGTTTGGCTCCATACACACTGTGCACACCAGTTTTTAGGACTTAGGTTGAAGGACTTTCAGGTTTTAAGTAAGTTACCAAGAAGTTTGTAGTGAACACAAATAAGCATTAAAAAGGTGAACTGACAACCTGATTTTTCTCATTTCGCCCCACTCCCGGTCAAGCCCCGGTTTCGACTTAGTCCCTTTATTCATAAGAGGTTGCCACTGCAGAATGAACTGCTAGCTTATCCAGCATATGTTTTACACAGCGAATGCCCTTCCAGCTGCAACCCTGTACTGGGAAAAACATCCACACACACTCATTCATGAACATACACTACGGCCAATTTAGTTTACCCAATTCACCTATAGCGCATGTCTTTGGAGCACCCGGAGAAAACCTGTGCCAACATGGGGAGAACATGCAAATTTCACACAGAAATGCCAACTGATCCAGCCGGGATCTGAACCAGCAACCTACTTGCTGTGAGGCAGCAGTGCTAACCACTGAGCCACCGTTTAGCCCCAGCTTGATCATTCACTAAAGACAATTCTCACTTTCTGACAATCCTTGGTCAAGTCCTGATTATCTTGATAGTCCTCCAGATTACATGAGTGTTTTTTTTTTTTTTTTTTGTAATATAAAGTGTGTTAAGATCTCTGTTCTGCTTCAGTTTATGATAAGAAATCCCATCATATTGGAGGAACTCTGACAGTATGTGCTGTAGATTGTCATGTGGGCTGTAACCAAATTGCAGACAGAAGACATAACTAACAACCACAGTCATGTTTGTTTGTGGTAGACTGACAGACAGAGATTATGAGGATTTCCTGTTTTCACAGTCAGAACTCTGGGTGATAGTGAATGGAGATTGTTAGTGTTTGTTGTTCCATCTCCTTCAGTAGTAGTTGGCAATGCCACTTAGTAACGAAGCACAAAGTTTGTGTACATACAGAATACTTCTCCAGTCCTGTAGTACACCATTGTTTTCAATTACATATCTGTAACCTGTTAATACTAAATGCAAGAGCATGACGTCTCCATGTTCACATCTTTTCAATTTTATAAACTTGTACTACTGTTTTTGAAAGCCCCAAACTCCCGCCAACCTGACCACCAATGTTTGCTTGTGTATTTCAACAGATGCAGTACCGAGAGCTGAAAGTGGACCCCTGTCACAGCCCAAACAAAAGAAAGAAAAATAACCCAGGATAGTTGTCCTCCTCTGACACTCTCCTAGGGCCAAGGAGAAGAAGAGGACTGACTCTTTCTGTCCTTCTCCCTCTCTCTTCTCCTCTCTCCATGGCAGGAAGAGTTAAAAGGTTTGGTCAAAACGGGAAAATGGGACCATTGTTAATTACCATCCGTCCGTTTTTGGGTTTATTTTTGTGCCGAGGAGAGCGGCAAAAGCTCTTGACCCCTTTTAGAGTCAAACAGTCTGGGTTATTTGTCAGCCCTTGCCACTAGCCAGACAGCTCTAAAAGCCAAGGTGTCCTTCCATGGCAGCAACAGGAGCCGCTCTTACCACAAATAGCAGGATCAGCTGATAATACGCCCACCTGTGCCGACACACCTCGCCTCTACAGAAAGCAAAACCACGCTGGTTAAGCTGCAGTTTGCACCCTATAATTTGCTCGGCGCAGTAACTGCCATATCTAAAGCTATCCACGGCAGTTATCAGAGTCGACAGCTGAGCCCTTTACGCTCCGATTTATGGCTGGAACTAAAGTGCTCGTAGAAATGACTGTGCCGGCAAGGCTTGTGATATCTTTGCGTCGTTTTGTTGTTCTTTTAATAGTATGAATGATGCATGCTGGGATTGTTTCTTGTAGGCCTTCTCCAACCAATAGTAGCCATGGCAGAGTCAATATCATTTAAGCGCATCTCGTCATTGCTTTTCTTACTAAGAGTTTTTAATCTTGTTTGTAGTCCAAATATAAACAAAAAAAATTAAAACATGTCAAGTAATCGGTTATGTAAAATAATTTTATTTCAAACCAAAAACACTATTATTTTACTTATCTCATTGGCAGATTATTCTTTGGGATACACCGATATAGTATTTTGTGACCGATACGATTACCTGGTTGATTGCCGATGTAAGTCAATAAATAAACATAGTGTTGGGGAAAGTTACTTTTGAAAGTAGTGCATTACAATTACGTTTTTTTTTTTTCCATAAGTATAAAGACATGCTCTATAGGTGAAATGGGTAAGCTAAATTGTCTGTAGTGTATGTCCTGGTCCTACAGGTTGGGGGTTGAGCTAATGACACACCTCATAAAAATTCGATGTTACAAAACATCAACATGGTGGGGCTAATTATTAACTTCCACATAAACGGCCCGGGGAGTAAGTAATAAGACAAAGTACAAAAGTAGCTAACACGTTGCAACAAATGATTTTTTTTAATTGTCTAAAATTTCAATGATTAAATATTTGATTTGATATTTGGGCTACAGACTAGACAAAAACTTTAAGCAAGAAAATATAGTTTTTTGTCATGCTTACATCATCCTTTGAGATATCAGCCTAATTTTGTTATCAAACTGATAACGGTAATATTAAAACAGCATTTATCAGCCAATATATTGTCCATCTCTATTTTTATTTTTATTTTTAAGAGAACAGTCACTTAATTTTAACATTATTTCTGAAAATAGATCAATATATATATTTTTACTTGGTTCAATACTTTGTTTTGATATTTGGGCTACAAACAAGACAAAAACGTAAGAAAGTACGTTTTTTTTTTGCCTACATCATCCTTTAAGATATCAGCTTAATTTTGTTATCAGACTGATAACGATAACATTAGAAACATTTATTGCCCGTTAAATTGTCAATATCAAATTATTTTTGCTTGTTTTAAGGAAAACTCACTTTGTTTTTACATTATTTCTGAAAAAAAAAATAAAAAAATCAATATTTTGTGCTTACATCATCCTTCGAGATATCAGTCTAATTTTGTTATCGGACTGATAACGATAACATTAAGAATAGCATTTATCAGCCAATATCAATATATAGCCACCAATATATCGTCCATCTCTAATTATTCTGCTTGTTTTAAAGAAAACTCACTTAATTTTTTACATTATTTCTGAAAACAAATCAATATTTTTGCTTATGTCATCCTTCAGGATATGTCTAATTTTGTTATCAGACTCATAACGATAACATTAAAAGCAGCATTTATTAGCTGATATTGATATATAGTCAACAATATATCATCCATATCTAATTATTTTGCTTGTTTTAAGGAAAACTCACTTAATTTTTACATTATTTCTGAAAAACAAATCAATGTTTTGTGCTTACGTTATTCTTCCAGATATCAGTTTAATTTTGTTATAAGACTGATAATTATAACAATAATAACAGCATTTTCGGCCAATATCGCTATATAGGCACTAATATATCGTCCATCTCTATTTATTTTGCTTGTTTTAAAGAAAACTCACTTAATTTTTACATTATTTCTGAAAACAAATCAACATTTTGTGCTTACGTCATACTTCAAGATATCAGTCTAATTTTGTTGTCGGACTGATAGGGCTAACATTAAAAACAGCATTTATTGGCCGATATCGATATATAGCAACCAATATATCGCCCATCTCTAATTATTTTGCACGTTTTAAGGAAAACTCACTTCATTTTTAAATTTTTTCTGAAAACAAATCAATATTTTGTGCTTACGTCATCCTTCGAGATACCATCTAATTTTGTTATCGGACTGATAACAATAACATTAAAAACAGTATTTATTGGCCGATATCGATATATAGTCACCGATATATCATCCATCTCTAACTATTTGCTTGTTTTTTGAAAACAAATCAACCCTTTGCGCTTATTCTGCCGATATCACTATATAGCCAACAATATATCGTCAATCTCTACAAAATCTGCCATGCTTACGTCATCCTTCTCTCCCATAATGCCACATAGTGCCATCTAGCTAATAAAGTTGTCTGTTTGGGTCTTCGAGCACCATTTTGTTTGGAAAGCAACTTCCGCTGTAGAGTTTCCCAACCGTCCACTCGACCTTCTGCACCCGCTGAAAATTTTGATCTTTAACTCCCAAAGCCACCTGTTTTACAGGAGCCAAATCTTTCGAGAAATCCCAGTCTTGAAGGGCGAATTTTTGTGCGTGTTTTCATTGCTGTGGATTTCCTGCTTGACAAGAAGTCGATAGCATGTGACAGGCTCTTTTAGGGTCTCATGGGGGCACTGTAGGGCAGAGGTCGACTGACGCCGCCGTGGAGGAAAAAGGAGGACGCGGGTTGCTTTTTAGGAGCTCCTCCTGTCATTTCCTTTCCTTCATGTTTCTGAGGTCACGGATGAGGTGCTTTTGAGGAACTTTGGAGTAAGGAGCGATGAAAGATCACAGCGCAGGATACATCAGAAAAGTTTGTCCCTTCACTCCCTACAGACTTCTCATTTGCCATATCGCATCTGTCATATGGAAAAAGCATTGATTTGGTGGAGGGAATTCCATTACAAAGACAACACAATCCCCGCTGAGCAGGACACGGATGGCAATTCAGCGTTATATATTTACCAAAAAAAAATTGAACAGCAGAAAGGATAGTTTTCTAAGCCTGAATGTGTTTCTGTGTACTGTGTGTTGATTTTTAAGTTGTTCCGTGGGTTTGTTTATCGAATGGTTTTTGCATCCCAAAAGTTTTTTTTTTTTTTTTTGTAAAAGTGCACATGCTGTGTTTGCAAGGAAACCAAAGTGGATTTTTTTGTGTGTGTGTAAATAATATAGATATCTATATATGAGAGATAACTATGTAGAATGTAACGTCCATTCATTGGAAAGAATTAAAGGCACTTTCGTTTATACTAGATTTTTAAACTATTTATTTGAGACAAACCTTACCTTTTTTTGTAAATAATCTTATTGTAAAAAAAAAGAAAAATATAAAAACAAAGAATATATGTGGTCAGATGTTGATGAAATTGTAATGTGTGTGATATGTTTGTGTGTCATTTAAAAAAAAACCTGTTGCCTGTGATGTCATACTGCTCACTGTGACTGCCTGAAACACAGTTGGCAGAATTGTGACAGTTTCAACTAAGTGATAGACTATGAATAACTCGAATCATTTATGTCTATTGCTTTTGAAGATGTTTTGTTTAATTTTTTTTATATTATTGCTTGCTTTCATCAATAAAAATCAATTCTTAAAGCATGTAAACAAGGTTGTTAAAATTGTAGTATTATTTATGATTAATAATATTAGTAGTATTATTTATATTTAATATATTATATATTACATATTTGAAATATTACATTGAAATATTAGAATTTTAAAGTTAGTGTTGGTTTTGTTATTATTTCTGTAGATCAACAGTAACTCCAATAATATGGTCTTTGACAAGTTGACTAATTCATTTATTTAAGAAGTAAAACTTCTATAATGTATGCATTCATTCCACACAGGCTTATATATTTCAAGTGTTTATTTCTTTTCATTTTGATGACAACTAATGAAAACCAAAATTCAGTACCTCACAAAATTAGAATATAGTGAAATAATCAGCTAATAAACTCAAAACACCTTTAAATGCCTGCAAAGGCCTTTAAATGGTTTCTCAGCTTAGTTCTGTATCATGGGGATGACAGCTGATTAGACAGTTGTCCAAAAGACTACCATTGACACCTTGCAAAAGGAGGGCAAGACACAAAGCTCATTGCAAAAGAGGCTGGTTGTTCACAGAGCTCTCATGTAGAAAAAAAAAAAGTTTACAAGCAATAGCGATAACCAATGACAAAACCCATTCAAAAATGTGGGGAAGGTTCACAAAGAGTGGACTGCAGCTGGAGTCAGTGCTTCAAGAACTACTACACACATGTATGCAAGACGTGTTTCAGCTGTCGCATTCCTTGTCAAGCCTCTCTTGAACAACAGACAGCGTCAGAAGCATCTTGTCTGGGCTAAAGACTGGACTGCTGGTGAGTGCTCCAAATTTATGTTCTCTGATGAAAGAAAACTTTGCCTTTGCTTTAAAAATCAGGGTCTGGAGGAGGAGAGGCGCACACACACACACACACACACACACACACACACACACACACACACACATACACACACACACACATACACACACACACACACACACATATATACATATATATATATATATATATATATATATATATATATATATATATATATATATATATATATATATATATATATATATATATATATATATATATATACTGCATCATTTTAAAGACAAACCAGCTGTTTATAAATAAAATATGATTGAACATTTTACTGAAAGCATGCACCTGTTATTGGTAAATCTAGAAAATTTACAATAACTTAGAAAGTAAGTTTTTAAACTACACACACACACACACACACATGCACGCAAGAAGAGTAAGAAGAAGACACGCTGACAAAACATTGCTGTCACTCTGATACAACTTTTATTTGTGAAAAAAATTACAAAGAACTGCAGTGTTTGTGTGTTTTGTTGTGTCTGAGATCATTAGTCTTACCAAAATGTGTACATTCCATACAAGCTGAAACTGATCGGTCAATTCCTGTAATGTGACGGCAGGATACATTCAACTGTTTGGTCTGGAAGCAAGCCAAGCACCTCTAGAAACAATAAACTTGTGGGAACCCCAGAAAAGACACAATATCCAAACAGCCCCTTAAAGGCTGTCATCATTTGTATTCTCTATCAGTTGATCTTCTTGCACAGCCATGGTGGATTCACCTGTATTGTTGACAAATTCCTTTGCAGTTCATGGGTCCTTCACTGGGCCTTTCCTAGCAAAGAAACTTTACAAAGACGTCTGTTTTTTTTTTACTGATTTTGCTGCTTGTGGGTTAAATCTGGCCCCTCAAGTGACCAAAATTTTACCAAGCTTTTAGTCATTTTTCAAAATAAAAGACTTTTCAAAATAAAAGATCGTTCAGACTCTGATAATACATAAAACCGAAATAATTAATGATTTCTTGTTAGGCCTGGTACCAATTGATCCAGCCCGGTGGTTGAGGACAACTGCCCAGGACCATTGCTGTATATGAAGGATGAGGGAGCTCTCAGATTTCATACAGTGTTCTTAAACTCAACTCCACAGCTCTACATACTTTAGCTTCGACCACCTTTAACTCACACCTGCCTAATAGTCTGTAACAATCTTGCATACCTTGGTCAACAGTTGGCTCAACTGTGTTTGGTTTGGGTCGGAGCAAAACTCTGCAGAGCTGCAGCTCTCCAGGAATCCAGTTTGAGACCTATGATCTAAAACAGGGGTGTTCAAACTCGGTCCTGGAGGGCCGGAGTTCCTTCAATAGTTCCAACCCCAATCAGACACACCTAGGATAGCTAGCTCTTACTAGGCCTTCTAGAAGATTTATTGCAGGTATTGCTGAAGCTAAAATCTCCAGGACACCGGCCCTCCAGGACCAAGTCTGGAAACCCCTGATCTAAAATATCTTAACTTGTGTCCTGAAGATGATCAAAAGTCTCAGGGGATTAAAACGACATGAGTCAGTCCATTTACAACAGAAGTATTATTATTAATATTAAATGAACTAACCTTTTAAGCTTGCCATCTTAACTTGCATACCAATGAATACAAGAGTACTTTAAAAAGAGAAGTGTTTGCATACTGAACGCACAAGGTCTCTCCCCTATGGATGTTAGTGGTGGGTCTTTTGTAGACAAACACACAGGTGTGTACAAGCTGTTCATCTTTCCCACACAAGAGTTCATTCATTTCTTCCGTCTTCAGCAGAGTGCTGTTATATTTCAAGGCTTTCAACAAGAGCCAAGTTTCCTTGGCGAACAGCTCACAATGTAGGCGCTCTTCACACACACTCTCAGACTGTGTGTTCCTCCACAGGGGTCAAAGGGGCTCCCCTGTGCTCTCAGCCTCTGTGCCCCCCAATCATTTGTTAGTCTGGCTGTTTCTTCGCTGTCTGATCCCTGCTGTTTTTCAATATGACACCGTAGCATCACACGGCGTGATCCAGTACAAACGGCCGCGCTGCCAGACGCTAATAATCATAGCCGTGCTCAAAGCAAGAACACTTGAGCTTGTTATTTATTAACCTCGGCATCCTCCATCGCTCTTGGCCTGTCAGACTCAGACCATCCGAAGCTATTGGGTTCTAATCTCAAACCTGGCCATGATGATCCCTAGTCACCTCCGGCTCGGATTGTAGTTGAAAAGTGCACGATCAGGAAGCGCCTCATTCTTCATGGAGGTCTCGGGTAGATTTCTTGCTTTTGTACTGGAATCGGTCATTTAGAAGGGATTGATTATTAACACCACATGGCACACATATGAGTTTCCTCCATCATCTGGGATCAGAGGACTGCGAGATGTCTTACAAAGATTCAACTACAGTTTGTTCGTTAGGGCTTGTTTTCTTTAGTTAAACATAAAAGATGCTTTTTTTTTTTGCTGAAATTGTGATTCTTGGTTATTACTAAAATGCATGTCAGTTGCTATGCTCTTTTAGAGTAAAAAAAAATAAACATAATAATAATAATAATAATGATATCATATATATATATATATATATATATATATATATATATATATATATATATATATATATATATATATATAACCTTAAATTATATATATTTTTATACCTTCACTAGTTTTTCTTTCACATTTTACAGAAATGTACCTTGTATATGCCCCTTAATAACTCTTAAAAACATGAGAGCAATTTATCCTCCTTGTTGGACAATTATCTTTATGTAGTGTTATAGTATCTTCATATTTATATTTTATGATAGTATGAACAATATGCAGGGCCGGAGTGGGACTCTTTTTCAGCCCTGGAGTTTCAAGCCTCAGACTGGCATACGTCAGTTCACGACTGACTATATTAAAATAAGGTCATTTCCAATTCAGTTTCTAATTACACTATCACGTCTTTTTTTGAGAAAACAGCTGCTTTAGAACTTTAAATGTTCAACAACCCTAACAGTATATGTCTTAACAATAAAAATGAAAAAAAATATATAACATACTCAGACAAGGATCAAACCCATGTCAGCAGCATCGTAATCCAGGGTGCTAACCACTGGACCACAACAGTTGTTTAATAAGACTCATCTGAGTAATATCGTCATTGACCTGCAGGCTGGTTATATATAAAAAGAGCAGAGCTGCGGTAAAATAATGAATAAGAAGACTGTGGTCAAGTAAATAAATAAATTAATTTAAAAAGTGTGACTGCTGAGAGCAACAGATTCTGTAGCTAGGGACACCGGCCCTTGCAGCCAAAAAATGGACCGGCCCACCGGGAATTCTCCCGGTCCTCCGGATTAGCCAATCCGTGCCTGACAATATGAATAATATATATTTGTATATTATATTTATATTATAATAATATCTTGTTTTTAAGACTTGTTGGACATTTTTAATAAATAGGGGGAAGGGAGGTCACACCACAGGACAACAAAACTTATAGTGTGTCATTTAACGAGGTAAATTCTTTCCTTATACACTAAGAAAATATATGATCACAACAACTTACGTTACTATTACTTATTTTTAGAAAGTTGACCAGATTTCAACTTAATTTTTTAAAGTTAAAAAAATTACTTAGTAAGTTATACTAGGTCATTTGATGCAATTTATAGCTGATGTAATTCTGTGTTTACGCCAGATATATATCTTTGGTGTGGTATTTTAAGTTTAATCAAATTATTTTTAATGAAAGTTATTTTAATTTATGCTGGGCTCACACCAAACATGGAATTAAGTATGTACGTTTGGTGTGAACCCAGAATACACTGAAATGACTTTTATTAAAACTAATTTGATTGAATTAAGAAAGCAACAAATTCATAACACAGTACTTAATAGCAGCCAGATGTTTGGTTTCTGGGTAGTTAGAGTATGTAATTTGACAGAGGACCAGTGGATGTAGAATTTCTGGATAAACTGATCAAGTTGTAAAATGCAACAAGGCCTTGAGGTGCCTACTGAATCACGCCAATGGGAGCCAGTTTTTACAAATTATTAAATCTATTTACCATATCCTTATTTGTTATCACGTGACCACACTTTTTAGAACTGAATTTAGAAATAGTTTTGAAACAAATCTTTGCACTTAACAAACAAAAATATGTAGGCTAATGGATGTCCAGTGGAGTGCGTACAACACCATTTCCTTTTCCACAAAAGTAAAGAAGTAAAAGTAAAGAG